AGGGAGGGATGAGCGAGTGAGTGAATGGATGGATGGGTGAGTGAATACCACCATACAGGAGCAAGCTTGAACACACGATGTGTTGGTGAGAGAAGCAGAATATAAAGCAGGAGAGATAGAGAGAGGTTGGTTCATGGAGGCCTTGAATCTTAGACTTTATCCCCTATATAATGGAGAGGCAATGAAAGTTTTAAGTAGGATTTTGAAGTGGTCAGATTTTGTTTTAGATGCAATCTCAAGTGAGAAGAGGGGGTGTTGAAGAAGACACAATAGGCATAGAGACATGAATTCTGATTTCTAGTGCACAGATCATTTTAGTCATGATTCTCTGAATGTACTTCAGTTTCTCTATAGCTTATCCAGAACTGTACACGTTAGAATAGAACCATGTACACAGTGCCTCATGACCAGTACTATGTTGTGTTATGCTTGGAAAAATACTGAGGAATGGAGTGGGGGTAACTTGCACAAAGTACCTCACCATCTCTTGTGAGGGATTTTTACCCTTTTATTTCTCTCTAAATATAAACTAAATAAAAGTAAATGCCAGATATCATTATTAAGACCTAATAAAGGAGAACTAATGACAAACACAATGCTTGTTCAATAAATGCTTATTATTTCTGAGTGCTTACTCTCTGCCTGCACTACTGCTTATTAATCATTGCAATAATCTTGGAACATAGGTACTATTATTATCTTCTTTTTAAAAGTGAGAAAATTGAAGCTTGAAAGTGAAATATTTAGGAAATAGAATTAATGACTTGATGATTGTTTGGATGTGAGCACTGAGGGGTAACAGCATTACACATAACGCCCAGTTTTCTAGTGTGGGCAACTGATTGCATGGTTGTGCCAGTCCCTGAAATAGAATTAGAGGAGGAGCAGGTTATGGGAGAGGGGAGAGTAGAAATGCATTAGGCCAACTAAATACTATGTTAAGTTTTAGGTGCCTGAAAGAGATGCCCAGCTGTCATTAGATATTTTAGTCTCAGTTACAGGAGTACTGTCTGGGCTATCTATATGTGGGAATAATCAGCATACAGACGACAACTAAAGCAATGGTAATCGTTAAGATGATCCAAAAAAAGTGTGAAGAGTAAGAAAAGAGTCTAGGGCAGAGTCCTATGGAACATGAACATTTCAAAGGAAAATGAGAAGCTGCCACAGAAGTGAAAGAGAAACCAGGAAAATGCAATGTCTTAGAGCTAAAAAACTAGAGGGTTCTATGAAGTGAATATTTGTGCTACCTACCCAAATTTATATGTTTGCACCCCAATCCTCAAGTGATGGCATTTAGATGTGGGGCCTTTGGGAGGTAATTAGGTCGCAAGGGTGGAGCCCTCATGAATAGGATTAATGCCCTTATAAAAGATGTGAAAGAGATGATGTCTTTCTGCCTGTGAGGATACAGTATGAATACAGCCAGTCTGCACGCTAGCAAGCAGGTCCTCACCAGAACCTGATCATCCTGGCACCTGGTCTGAAACTTCCCAGCCTCCAAAACTGTGAGAAATAAATTTCTGTTGTCTAAGCCATCCAATTTGTGGTATTTTGTTAAAGCAGCTGGAACTAAGGTTTCAAGAAGGAGGGGAATAATACATGTAAAATCCTGCAGAATTGAAGTGTAGTAATGGTTGAAAAGCGTCTGTTTTAGCAACACTGTTAAGAATTTTGACTGGAAAGGAGAGGTGGGAGAAAGACCACAAGGTTACGTCTATGTATAGTTAGGGGGTTTAAATAGATGATTTTGAAATATTTTAGATGAGAGAAACTTTTACAATCTTTAGGTGCTAATAATAAGAGGCAAATTAGCAGGGAGCCATTGAAAAGTCAGGAGACAGAAGGATTCATCAGTGGAGCTAGACTCAGAGTTGGCAAAAGGGAATGGGGATGTAAAGCAGATAGGGAGCTTAGATCAAAGTATAATAGTAGTAGTAGTTGTTATTGCAAAAGAATGGGATAAAAGATTTACGAGGGTTCCAAGAAGGTTAGAAAATTTCGTGGCGAAAGTAGAGGGAGTCTCTGCCAGATGAATTCTATTTTGTATGTGAAAATAACAGGTGACATTACTTGCTGAGACTAAGCAGGGAAATGGTGGGACAAGATCGGCTCTTCATTTATCCCACCAACTCACTGCTGGTAGACTCTGTGGCACTGGTAGACTGGTAGACTCGTTTTCCCGGAGGAACAGCGCTTTACGTGGTTTACAAGAGTTGTTGACTGAACATGTGACAGACTAGGTGATACGCCAGTCCGGACTACCACTCCCGGAATGCAGTGCGGCTTCTGGGAAGTGCGGTAGCTAGGCACGCACAGGCCCCACCTCTCCGCCTGCTCCCATTGGAGGAGCATTCACATTCCCAGGAGGCCGTGCGCGGGCGGGGCTCCGTACCCGGAAGCTGGCGGCGTCCGGTCCCAGCCTTCTCTGGGAGCCGGCAGTTAGCGACTCTCCGCTGAACCGCGCCCCTCCGTCTCGAGCCTCCGCGCTCTCTGAGGGTGCCCGGACAGGTAAATGGAGCGGGGCGCTCGGCGGAAGGCGGGGAAACGACGGCAGAGGGAGGGCAGAGGTGTCACCTGAACGTACTGGCATAGAAAGAGGAGGCAGTGCGAGGGTGACTGGGGCTTCTCTGTTTTCGACAGTTTTGTCAGTCAGGTACGGTTTTGGCGAAGTGAGTTTTATGCCGCTGAAAAGGCCTCGAGATAAAGAATGTCAGAATGCGTCACTTACAGCAGGGGAAAATGACAACTTTACTTCAGTTTGCATTCTGAGAGACCTTTCGGTAGTATTTGAATGTCCTGACATTTCTTGAGTCTTCTGAAAACTCTCGACGACCTCGTTTTTATGACGTCACTCTTTGCTTCACCACCTCGTTTGGAGCTCCTACGTGGGTTTCGAGTCCTCTGCGTGCCCTTCCTCCACCGCTCAGTGTTGACATTCTTCTTCCTCGGTTCGGCTGGGAACTCCATTTCCACCCAGACCTATTTTCTCAACGTCAGTCAGACATGTATAATGTTATTATTGGCCCATATTTAACAAACTCTTACCATGTAATAGATTCTCTGGTACATGCTTTACATCTCCCTCTTCCATAACACCTACAATTAATTATCAAATCCTTTTCTGTCTTATTAATTGTTCTCAACTACCTGTACCTCCATTGTCCCATCCTTGATCCCAGAAGATACTGTCATGTTTGGGACATTTCCCTTTGAATAGCTGTGTCTGAGAGCACTTATTGAATAGCTAATATGTGTTAGACACTCTTCTAAACGCAAGGGATATAGTTGGAAACAAGACATAGGAAATCACTACTCTCAGTAGCTTACATGTTTGTATGGGAGCAAAGAGGATTAATCAAGATCACGTTATATGGTGGCAGTGGTAATCAATGTAAAATAAAACAAGTGGTTCACTCAACAGGGTAGACTACTATTCTGAGAAAATCAGAGGGATTGGGTTGGGACTAAGCATCACCCAAAAGGAGCATTTACAATTCCAACAAGAACAGTCTTGAGCTGTGACCAGACATAAGGCTTTTCATAAACACTTCTTTTTCTCTGTCATAGCAATGTCTGTTCTTCATTCTTCTGTCTCCTCCAAGGTTATTACATCAGAATTAGTGGTTTATTTGTCGTTGGTTTATTTCCTCCTAAGACCCAGACAGAAGAGTTGGGGATTGGATTATTCTCAGATCAACTGCTTTATTTTCTTAGGGAGATAGTTGGTAATTAAAATATTCCTTTTGCCAGATCCTACTAATAAAGTTATCTATCATTTATAGTGTATTTAAAACCAAATCATGCTCAGTGTTCATTAATTTATTCAACAAATATTTGAGAGAATAGTATATGCCAGGCACTGTGCTGGGCACTGTGAGGATAAAATAGATACTTTGACCTCTCTTTCAAGGAGAAGTAGTTGTAGCAGTATACTGAAAAAATTCCTAATACATAGGCTGACACCTGCATTCTTTTTTTCTTCATTCAAGGTGTGATAAACACAGAGTTTTAAGAAATCTCCTAAACAGTGTGTACATTCTTACATTACTCACTCATTACATTTTATTGCATTTATTTGTTTGTGTCTGTCTTCCCCATTGTACTATGGCTCCCTCGAGTGTAGAGATTTTTTTTACTGGTCTTCATATTCCAGTATCTACTTCATTGACTGCCACATAGTAAACCTTCAGAACATATGTGTTGAACTGAAATAGAAAAACTGTTTGATCTGACCCAAATTAATTTATACAAGACCTTCTTTATATGAGGCCATTAGACTTATCCCTAAACCTTCTCATTAATCAATTGTGGACCATTCCATTTCATCAGGCTTGTTTATTTACCTTCCCTAGCTTGTTCTCACTTCTGTGTCTTCTCTTGTTCCATAGCTTCCTCCTAAAATGAGTTCCCATCTCTTCCCTGAGCACCCTGCATGCCCTCCCCATTTAATTTAATGGGCCAGTTTAATAGTATGGCCCATGATATAAGGGTGGAAAGTATTTAATATCCATTATGTATTTCCTATGAAACATTCTGCTAATGAACTGTTGCAAGGATTAGCATAATACATCCCCTTGCAATAATAAGAATAATGATACAGAATACTTTTTATTTTTCATTGACCATTACCTTGTATTATGTAATGAGTTAATTCTTCCACTTTTTTTCTGTTTGAACAGTTGCACAGCCTTTATTTATACAGCACATTATGGTATCATTTGGTTTCCACTTTGTACAAACACATCTTTGAGTATTATTTTCTCCTTAGCCTGAGAAAATGTAGGTGTTCATGTTATTCTGCCACATTGTCGTTTTCAGGATGTCAGATAAAAGTGTCAATTCTTAAAATAAAAGTTTTTTCCATGCAGATATCTTTCAGCTGTAAATTGTTACTATGAAAGATACATTTCATCTTTATAACTGATTAAAAAAGCACAATAGAAATTCAAGAGTGCTTGAGTTATGATTGTCATTATGACTTAGGCTATGCTAATGTAAGAGCTGCCAGACATGCTTCCAATACATTAAAAATTAAGCATTGTCATTTTAGGGAACTTCTTGGTACCTATGACTTCATAATGCAAATAGAACACTGAATTGTGTGTCATCACTCATTTATAAGGTATGCATGCAGGTGATCCAGAATATTCATATACATTTTAAAATTTTATCAAAATTAAAATACAGAATTTAGAAATTTCTCAGAACACAGACTGGAGTGTGAGAAACACTGACTTGGCCTTTCCCCCTAATCAGTTACCTGAAACTCTTCAACCTCCACTTGAAGATGCCTCCACTGAGGAGGAGTATTGGCATCATTGCTGTGCTATTTTGTTAGCTTTTTTTTAAAATACAGGCAGTCCTTTATTTTCAAATGGATATATTCCAAAGGTTCCTTTGTAAGATTATTGTTTGACACTCTGGATGCAGGTTTCTCTATAAACAATGCTCTTTATGGTGTTTTGATTGTTACGCCAACCAGTAGCATCCTACTTAACCTTCATTTTAGTGGACTTAAAGACCTTCACCACAATTTATAATAATTCTTCTATAAAGAACTACATACAGATTTCTCATTTGGATTCCCCCACGGCATACCTTTTTTTTTTTGGAATCCTAGCAACTGGAACAAAAATGTCCTTTTCTTGAAAACGTCTAGACTATAAAAACAGACCTTTCTAACTCCAAGCTATTGGAGATTTCCCTTCTGGCCCATTGCTGTAAGGACTCTTAAATAAGGAAAGAGATGGGAGAAAGGTTTTGGAGAGGAGGGAGAGGCAAGTTGGAGTGATGTGAATATGTGGAAGGGAGAGCAGAAGTGGTTTGGGAGCAACAGTTTCTAAGATGGGGGTTTATGTCCTCAAAAAGATATGTTGAATCCTGACTTCTGGTACCTGTGAATGTGGTCTTATTTGGAAATAGGGTCTTTGCAGATGTAGTCATTAAGCTGTAAGTTAAAATTTGGTCATACTGGACTAGGTGTCCTTATAAGAAGAGAAGAGACACAGAGAATGCCATGTGAAGACATGGACACTTTGACTATGGAGGCAGAGACTGAATGGCTTGCAGCTGAAGCACCAGAAGCTAGGAAGAGATAAAGAAGGATTCTCCCCTATAGATTTCAGAGGGAGCATGGCCCTACCAACATGCTCATTTTGGGCTTCTGGCCTCCAGAACTATGAGACAATACATTTCTGTTGTTTTAAGCCTTGAAACTTTTGGTACTTTTTAAAATGACAGCCACAGGAAACTCATACCCATTTTTTAGCAGGAATAAAGTAGAGTTGGAATGATGGCTGTGGGACTCAGCAAGCAGTGAGTAAGAGGACAGGGAAGAACAGTGTTGAGACAGGGCTTTCCTTTATATTCCATTATCTTTTTTTTCTTTTCTCTATCTGGCTTATCTTTTCATTCTTTTTCTTCTTGAATATTATATTTATATAGCACTCAATGGTTTATTGGACATTCACATACTGCTACTAATTAGCAGAGCCAGGTTTTCTGATTTCAAATGCAGTATTTTTTCTGCCACAGTTGTTTCTACTATCCCAATACTCATTAGGACATTACAGATTATATTGCAAGAGATCTGCAGTGGGGGCAGATGAGAATTGATTATAGGTGGGATTTTTAGCAGTGTAGGAGAGAGTAAGAAATTCCTATTAGTGACATGTGAGAGGAAAGTAAAGTTTGTCGCTATGTACTCAGTGTATAACAGTAAGGCAATCTTAAATTGGAGACTGCTTTTATTGAACAAAACACTGCTTCCCTATAACTGATATCCATTGTTCCTAGTTATATTTCGAATAATGCACCCTATTCCAGGCGACTGTACTTTATATAAGCTTGAAGACTGCTGTTCTATTCCCTCTAAGTCTTCTCTTTTTCATGTGAAATATTTCTAGTTCCTCTAGCCATTCTTAAATGATACAATCTCCAGGTCTCTCACCCATACTGTTGTGTTTCTGTGCAGTCTTGAAATACTATACCCAGAATTGAACTCAGTATTCCACTTGTGTGCTAACTGCCACAGAGTATAATGGCAGTAGTACTTAAAGAGATCAAGATACCCTGTTTCTTAATGTAATTTAAGATTACATAAGCTTTTTAAGCAATTACCTCATGTCAGTTCATAATGAACTTACGGTCCACTAAGACACTAGATGTTTTTGTATTGTTGCCAAACTCAGTTTTCTTCTTGAAGCTCCTGAGGAACTGAGGCTACTACTTTTTCATCTCTCTGTATCAGGACCCATATGATTTTTCATCTCTGTTTTTCTTTGTGTTTTTGTTCCATTCCACTGCATGTCTCTTTGACCCTAACCAATGACCTCCTTCTTTATAAAATTTCAGTGACTGTTTTAGAGTCATCATACTGTGCATCAGTGAACGCAGCTAGGAACTGATACTTGTTCCTTCTTGCAGTTTTCTTTCCCTTTGGCTTTCAGGCCACCACACTCTTCTGGCTTTCCTTTCATTTTCCCAGTCTTCTTTGCGGGTCCCTGTTCATCTACCTTTCCCTCAACTATTTATTGTATCTTGAGTTTTTGTTTTGTTTTTGTTAATCCTCACCTGAGGATATTTTTTTCATTGATTTTTTTGTTTGTTTGTTTGTTTTTAGAGAAAGTGGAAGGGAGAAAGAGGGGGAGGGAGGCGGGTGGGGGGAGAGAAATATGAGAGCAACATCAGTCGGTTGCCTCCGCACACAACCAGGAATCGAACCCGCAACCTGGGTATGTGCCCTGTCTGGGAATCAAACCACCACCGTTTGGTGTATGAGATGACACTCAACCAACTGAGCCACACCAGCCAGGGCTGTTTTGTTTCTTTGCATGCAGGGTGTCTTCAGCAATTAAATCATGTTTAAAATGGTAAGTCCAGATGAGCTCATCTAGGGATAAGAGCACAGACCAATCCCTGTGGAAATTCAACATTTAGAGGTAAACTAGAGGAGGAGGACTCAGCAACATGACAGAAGGAGAGCCAGACATTTAGGAATATTTCAAGAAAGAGAGTTTAGTCAGCGGTGTTGACTGTTCTGAGCGGTCAAGTAAGGTGAGAATAGAGAAGTTACCACTAAATTTTGCAACAGAGAGGCTGTTACTGATCTTGGCAAGCATGGTTTTATGGGGTGTTGAGGACAAAAGCCAGAATATAGTAAATTGAAGAGTTAAAAGGAGGTAAAGAAGCAGAGAGGGCATATAGATTATGATTTTAAGAAATGGAGCAATACCTGGAGCATGTTACAGAGTCAGTTGAGGATTTTAGAATCAAGGGATATAACATGAAAAGTGACTTAGAAATTATAACTTGCTGCATATGTGAAAGGAGAAATCCAAAAAGAAGATGGCTGAGGACATAACTCTGGGGAACACCCTCATTTAGAGAGTGGAATGAGAGGAGTTCAGTTCAGGAGACAGATGAGCACTTCTGCTCTGTGTACTGTCCTTCAATGCTAGGATTCCCGGAAGGAATCAGTGGATCCTCTGACCTCAAACACTTTATATCTGTCGCTGTGTTACACAAAATATGGCTGTGTGAATCAGCTGCATCCAGGCAGGCTTGTATTAAGTCCATATTCGATGCCCCACCTCAGGCCTACTGAATCAGAATTTCAGGGGATGATGAGAATATGAAATTTTAACAAGTGACTCTTACTCTGCCACCTAAGATGACTCATTCACACTGCAGTTTGAGAACCACTGGCTTATTGGATGAAACTGAACATGTTCACAAATAACATTAAGTTGAAGAGTTAGTTGAAGACTAAGAAGGCATTTTTTCATCTCTTTTTATAAGTTTATATCAGATAAGACAGACTGGGCTGTTATGTAGGAAAATGCTGCAAATTCGTAAATATGAGAAAAATAATCTTAAATGCATAGTGCATTGTTTTATAAATGTTTTGTTTCTGAAGGATCTTACCATAATTTATAGACGCATTCCTCTCCTGTGGAAGGTTGGTTATTTTCACTTCCTTTCTATTATGAGTAATTAATGCCTTTCTAGTAGAGGCAGTATATATATATATATATAGGGATAAGATTGTGGATTTTGGAGTCATACTACCTGGGTTTAAATCCCAGCTCTTATCACTTAGTAGCTCTAATTTTGGGCAAATTATGTAAGTCATCTATAGTTCAGTTTCTTCATTTTAATTTGTTTCATAATAGCATATAATTTCATTGATGTGAGGGTTAAATGAGCTAATATTTGTAAAATTCTTAAAATGATGCCTGGCACATAGTAAATATGAGCTATTATTATTGTTAATAGGAATCTTTATGAATCTAAAGTCTAACTTCTGTTGAACTATTTCCCAAGGATAAATGTTCAGGATGGGATTACTTCATTAAAGGGTGAAGACGTCTTTATGTCCCTTTGCTGTGGTCATTGCTTTTTCAAGGGTGATAAAAATTTGTGCTGTATCATTTATGAAGGCAACCTATCAATGTAATGTATGTGTGTGTGTCACATATACATTGTGTGTGTGTCACATATATGTCAAAATGTATACACACATATAAATATGTACATATTTGGTATGTCTATATATGTATGCATATCAGCATGGATTAGGTTGTAAGCTCATACAAGACTGATCTTTTTGTTAAACTTGTAATTAAGTCTGTTACATTTAATGAGCTAATATTTGTAAAATTCTTAAAACGATACCTGGCACATAGTAAGCACTTAATAAATATGGGCTATTATTATACTGCCCATAGTGCCTTGGTCAGTGCTGTCTCCAGGAAGATGTTGGTAAATGATAGTAAGTTACTTTTGAAAGATCATGTCAAAGAAATATTCTAAGTCTTGTGTATCTTGTTTCCTTTTGATAGATTGGAGCCATGGCCATTCTTTTTGCTGTTGTTGCCAGGGGAACCACTATCCTTGCCAAACATGCTTGGTGTGGTGGAAACTTCCTGGAGGTGACAGAGCAGATTCTGGCTAAGATACCTTCTGAAAATAACAAACTAACGTACTCTCATGGCAGGTGAGTTCTGCTCTGCATGGATAAAGGGCGAAAGAAGTGAATTCTATTATTATAATCAGGACAGTATAAAACTAGAAAAGAAACTTCTTGGTAGATAATTTGAATAAGCTGACAGAACAGTAACCTTTACCAGCTTACAACATGTCTAGTTCTATTAATTATAAATTTAACTTGTAATTATTTTATTATTCTATCATTTGAAGTGATATTAATATTTTAAAGAAAGATATGGAAATGTGAGATGCGGAAATGACTTTGCTATAGAGCTCTAGGATGTGTGAAACTTGATACAGATAAGATATATTTCTTTCTTTGTTCTTTTAGTAAATATTTACTGAGCACTTGACTATTGCCAACTACCTTGCATGGTGCTGGGGATACAACAAGAAACTCTGCAGTATTTGCCCTCATAGAGGTTATAGTTTAATGAAGGAAATAGTCAAATCCATAGATAATTATAGTAGAGGACAGGAGGTAGTGGTTAGGGGGATAGTGTTCCAGGTAGAAGGAATAACTAGTAGAGAAGTATGGAGGCATGAGATCAAAGGGCATGTTTAGGGAACTGCAGGTGCTTTTCTGTGACTGATGCCCAGCATGGTGAAGATAAAGCTAGAGAGATGGGTAGAAGAGAAGCCATGTAGGGCCTTATAGCCCATGTTAAGACACTGGGTTTTACCCTATGGGCAGTGGGAAGACATTGAAGGTTTTCAGCCAGGGTTGACATGGTTAGGCTTTGCTTTAGAAAGATCACTCTGGTGGCTGGTTGGAGAATGGATTGGACAGGGCTTGAATGGGCAATCTTAGTAATCAGATAAAAAGTACCTTAACCTTTCTCATCAATACTTTAAAAACGTTTGTTACGTAACCCGTGCAAGATGGAGACCCCAAAATACAGCATCAACTTAAATTAGATAGCCCAGAGGTGAGTACTTCAGGGCTGGTGGGGTGGCTCAGCCATTTGTAATTTTGCTTTCCAACTCTGGCCAAGGCAGCTTCTTTAGTTCTTGTTACCTCCCTGTGGTTGCCCAGTATTTTTAAAGGTGAATCCCATAAGTGGCCTGATATTTTATTGTTCAGAAGCTTTTGCTTACATTTTATTGTTTGCGGTGTAGTTATGTAGCTAATCTATCTGGAAGGGAAGCTCGGATTTGTCATTTCTAGCTGTGCACCTGTATGCTCAGCTAAAACTCTTACTCTGGAGGAAGTTTTAGGATATCAGAAGACAACTTGCAATCTTCCAGTCTACTCTTCTGGGCCACCCAAATATCTGGGTGTACTCTTCTTCCCAAATGTAGAACACACCTCCTCTCTGTAGGAGGTGGCCCTGAAGACTCATCTAGTTATTGTGTCCAGCTCCAAGTCCAGAGACTCTGGGTAGTAAACAGTTCTCTCCAGGGGTGAGTTCCTGTGGCCTATAGGCCCAGGGGTGGCTCCTGTGGCCTATTGACCATAAACTTAAAGACAAGTCATATATTCCCCCTGCTCCCCTAGCTCCACCCAATAGACAATGGTGAAATAAGAACATCACCGTAGTGGAAGTTACAAATGCCCCTTTAGAAACAGGAAGAACGAGATGTATGTAGAAGTTACTGCTGCTTAACAGTATTAAAATAACTATTTCACAGCAATTTCAAAGACTCCCTGTTGTGACCCAAGGAATGGTTAGTGATTCTGTTTTGTTCTTTAAATCCTCATCCGAAGATATGTTTTTATTGATTGTTTTGAGAGAGAGGAAGGGAGAGAAACATCTACGTGAGAGAAACATCCATCAGTTGCCTCCTGCACATGCCCTGACTGAGGATGGAACCCACAGCCTAGGTATGTGCCCTGACGGGGAATCGACCCCACAACCTTTTGGTTCCCAGGATGATGCTCCAACCACCTGAGCCACTTAGCCAGGGCAGTGGTTCTGTTTTCTTAGAGAAATTTCCTCATCTTTTCTCCCTGACTCCTGGCTTTGTTCTCCAGGAGTCTCTTCCTGGTCCATTATCCTCTCTTGCCACATTCAACATGGGTTTTAGAGAGTATGTCATCTTTGAGAACTGTTCAGGTTTTGTAGTTTTCTGCTTGCTGGTGTGGTTTAGAGGCCTACACGTTGCCTTAGGGGTGAAATAAAGCCAGCTTCTTGTGATTAATGGCTTTATAGTTTCTTTAAAAACTTATGAGGCTTGCTATTTGTGTGTTTCTAGTCAGTTCCCAGGAAAATGCCCAAGAGAAGCACATGTATTTCTTTTACAGACAAGACCAGGAAGTAGGGCATGTACCTTCCACTCAAATTTTATCTGCCAGAACTTAGTCACATAGCCATAGCTAGCTACAAGGAAAGCTAGAATACGTAATTCAGTGAAAATGTGGTTGTGGTACAAAAAGGCAATGCTATTCATCTGCAGTGCCTCTCCACCTGCATCCTGATGCAGTCCTGCCCAGTATCCTCTGGAGTGAGGCTCCATCACTGAGTTGTTTTTTTCTTTTAACCTTCTGCCTTGGTCTCTTTCCTATAATCATGTTCCATCATCCCAATCAAAAATATATTTTATTACTGCACTCAAATAAAAAAGTCCATTTTACTGTAGGACAATCATTTCCCCCTGAAATCTGATCCTCCGCTTGCTATTATTCTCTTCTTTAGCAGAATCACCACCATTCAGTTGGCTGAACCTGAAAGTTAAAAATCATATTTGACTTCTTTACCAAATACTTGCCATTCTCCCACAAAGAAGTATTTCAATCCATCCCCTCTCTTCCTTCCCCACTTGTCAGTGTTCAGGCCTTCATTGTTTCTCATTTCTAATAGCCTCCTCCTAACTGGTTTTTCTGCTGTCTACTTAAATCTGTATTTCACATTTTTTATTATACTTTCCTGCTTAAAACCCATTACTTTTATTTATTTATTTATTTTAAATATGCCTTTATTGATTTCAGAGAGAAGAAGTGAGAGGGAGAGAGAGAGATAGAAACATCTATGATGAAAGTCATTGATCCGCTGCCTCCTGCACGCCCCCTACTGGGGATTGAGCCTGCAACCCGGGCATGTGCCCTGACCTGTAATCGAACCTACATCTTCTGGATTATAGGTCGATGCTCAACCCCTGAGCCACGCGGGCCAGGCTCCATTACTTTGAGAATAAAGCCTAGGCCCTGGCCGGGTCGTTCAGTTGGTTAGAGCGTCATCCCAATACACCAGGGTTGTGGGTTCAATCCCTGGCCAGGGCACATACAGGAAACAACCAATGAATGCGTAAATAAGTGGAACAACAAATCAATGTTTCTCCCTTCCTCTCTCTAAAATCAATAAATGAACATTTTTAAAAAATAGAATAAAGCCCAAACTTGGCCTTCACAATTTTGACCATTCCTAACCTTTCTATCCTTGTTTCTTCTATAGGACTCCCTGCCTTTCACTGACCTAGTCGTATTACTTCAGACTTTAGTATTTTTTTATGTTTTTGCATCTTGGAATGTCCTTCCCCCTTAGGCCCCCTAGTAAACTTTTGCTCATTTTACAGGTCTCAAAATGAAATACTTTCTTAATTATCACTTTAGTCCTTCAAAAAGGGAAGTTCTTTTCCTGTCCCTCCCTTCAGTGGGTACTCTTTGTCCTTGGGCTAAAGTTCTTGAACCTGACTTGGAAGATTCTTTAAAATCTGCCCCTACTCCCTTCTCTGGCCTCATTTCTCACTACTTTAACCCTCAGTTTTGTTCTCAACCAAACTTAGCTATTTACATTTCAATGCCTGGTTCTTTCTCTCCTCCTAGCCTTTTCAATAGCTAGTAGTACCATTTACTGAAATATGCTTGTCTTACTTTTAAAAAATCTAACCTTGTCTTCTTTTTTGAATTGTTGACAGTATTACAGATGTCCCTCATTTCCCCCACTTTGCCCCCCTTCACCCAGCCTCTTTTAGAAACCCTTGAACTCCAAGCCAGGCCAGGCGTCCCCTTTTTGTGCGTCTCCATAGAATCCTGGGTTTGTTCATATTGTAGAATTTTCGCACTGTTCTAATTGCAATCATTATTTTTTGTCTCTGCCCCCTGACTGTAGGCTCTTTGATAGCAGGGACCATTCTTCGTTACCTTTTGTTATTTTTGCACCAAGTTACTCCCAAGTGTGATTTAAGAGAAATAATTTTGTAGGGAAAAGGATGACTTCCATTTTAGACATGTGTTTAAGTTGTCTGTGGTACATCTGGTTGGTTATATCTGGTAGACAGTAGCATATACAGGCCTAGAGCTCAGGAAATAGGTCAGATCTAGACTTAGGAATCATAATTGTGGTAGCTGAAAACAAGCATCAACAACAAAACATGAGGGTGATGCCACCTCCCAGGGAGTATGTGTGAGGGAAGCAGGGGATAAGGGTGCTGAAAAACATTAACCTTTAAAAGACGGCATTTAAAAGACAGCATCATACAAACTCCATATATTTTCCAGGATCAACTGTACAAATAATGGTTTCTTTCCTTTTGCCTGTAAAAAAGAACGTATATGCTTAGGTTTCTGAGTATTTAACCTTTAAAAGACGGCATTTAAATTCTGTCAGCATTTAAATTCGGCCAGCAGGACCCACTCCTTGCCGGGTACTAAAGTTCCCTTTCATCGGATAAAGGTTAACAGGGAAGGAAAGAGATGAACATATAAACTAGGCGAGCCTGCTGTCAAGAAATCTAGTGGATAGAAAACATTTTCCAGAAAAAGGAAGTGGTCACCACCATCAAATGTTTCAGAGCGAGCCACTGGATATGGCAGTGCGGAAGTCATTAGTGGAATTGATGTAAACAGTTTCAGATCAGTGGAGAAAGACATTTTGCCTGAGTTCCTATACCTCCCTGTAATTCATATCAAGCCTCTATGTGAACATTAATAATATAATTCAACAGATATTCCTGTCTATCTACTTGCCCAAGGTAGAAATCTGGGAGACAAAGTTGAGTTATCCTGTGCCTCACCCCCAATAGCCAATCATCAGGTTCTGTTCTATTTCTTTTTTGTCCCTTCCGCTGCTGCCTATAGTACTTTAGTTTATTTCCCTCATTGTTTCTTTCCTGCTCTACTGTAGGAGGGTCTCCTGTCTGGCCCTCCTTTCAGTCAGTTCTCCACACTCTAGGCAAAGCATCCTTTTAAATTGTAAATCTAATCACACTCTCCCCTTGTTCACTGTTCTTAGGATAATGCATAGTGAGGTTTTAAAGGTTTGTGTAACCTGGTATTTGCTTACTTCTCCAGCCTCATCTATGCAGTCATTTTATTTTTTCCTTACATTCTATACTCTAGTCATATGAACTAATTTTACTTTCCTAAACCCATTATATGCTCCAGGCCCTTATACTTATTGGTCTCTCACTCTGGAACACTTTACTCACTCTTCACCTTGCCATCTCTTATTTATTCTAGGATATCCTTCCTGTTACCCTTAGCCAAACTCTGTTAGGTATCTCCTTTATGTCCCCAGAGCACCGTGTACTGACTTGAACTCCTCATCCTACTTAAATCTTGCTACTCTGTAATTCCCTTTGAAGGGATCTCTTTGAAGGCAGGGACTGATGATTTTGCGTATTTCTGTCCTCAGCACCCAGCTTAACAACTGACTCAAAGCAGATAGCAAACAAATGTTATCATGGAGTATTTGGTAGAAATAAAGTGTTTGCTTTGAGATCTTAGGAGAAGGCAAGGAAGACCATATGACTCATTGGGGGTTAATCTTAATTACGTGTCCCTCATAAGATGCCATCTCTTATCCAGGCCTTAAGAGTCCGATTATGCTTGTGTAGCTACCATTTTAATGGGTAATGTGCACACTGTTGTGCTATATAGCTAGGGTAGAAACATTCCTTTAATTTCTTGTTTGTTCCTATCAGTTTGACTTGAGAGAAAGGTACGTATAGGGGAGGGGAAGAGAGAGAATAGACAGTATCTGTAAACAATATGGTCACATTAGCAGTATGAATTTGCTTTTACATAGAAAGAAGATAGAAGTGAAAAAGATATTACTCGTAACCACATCATTTTTATATCTTTTATCCTACAGTTATTTGTTTCATTACATCTGCCAAGACAGGATTGTATACCTTTGTATCACTGATGATGTAAGTAACTTAAGTCATATTGTTATTTAATTATGTGTACTGTTAATAGAGTCAGTTCTTAGTTCTTAATTATCTATATCTGTGGTGGATGAAGGTGACATGGATATAACTGTCCATAGCTGGACATATTTTTCTATACTTTGCATTTATGATATAGAGCAGCAAATAACAAGAAAAGTTGATATCTGGGTATATGCAAATCAGCTTGGTTTGGGTTGAGTTTCAGCTTAACCTCTTGCAACTTCTACATTTATTGTATTGTGTAGTGAAAATTGGTGTTCATAATTATGACTCTTTGGTATCCAACTCTCAAAATTTATCTGAAATATTAAATCAAATTATTTCATTCCTTCAATCAGTAGTGAATTTTTTAATATATATGGACTTTGGGAAAATTACAGTACACTATTGATAAGCTTTGTAAACCTGTAGTTCACATTGGTAGGTTGGTTTTTGAGTATATGTAGATTCTAGACTCAAAATGCTAGAGAACTTACTGCCATCAAGATCCTTTCTCTCCTCTGCTATCCTTAGTGTCAGCTCCTTCCTAGACACATTCCGCATTCCTCTTATGGTTGCATGTAGCCACATGCTGATTTACTTGCATCCAGAGAAGAGGGACTATGTCTTCTCCAGTCTCTTATTGTAGGAATGAGGAAGCTTCCCAGAAGCACACTCCCCCCTACCCCTGCTTTCAAAGTGGACTTCCTTTCATGTCGTACTGGCTGGGACTAGGCTACATACTTATTTCTAAATTGGTCACTGACAAGAGGCACGGAATTGACATGATTGTTAGCCTTTATTGTGTCACAGACCCCTTTGACACTCATGGGCCTCATCCAGAATGTTTTATAATATGAAGTAAAGTACATGACTATAAACTAAACCAAGAATATTGGAAGACAGTATTCACAGATTTTAAAATTGTCATGGTAAGATATATGCTTCTTTATGAATTTGTTAACAAGATCTAGTCATGAGTCCAATAACTAATAATTTTGAAGTGATGATTATAAATAATATTTTGAGATGTCTGTAATTGATAGTGTATGAAAAAGGATTTCTGTTGGTGACAAAGTCACAGGTACCATCTAATAATACTACTCTGGTTTGTTACCTGCATTCACAATTGAAATATAAGTTAAAGATTGGTGAAAATAACAGTATAGTCTTATTTTTCCATCCAAGTATATAGGCCCCTTGAATTCGGACCACTGACCCCAGTTTAAGAACCTTTGGCTTAGACTAATTATCTTAGGTGAAGTAGAGGTGAGTGTCAACCACAGTGATCATTACAGTGATTTTTATCCCTGGTTTCACAGTATTTTTTAAAATTATTTTTAAAATTTCAGCTGCATCTGAAATGATGGATGTGAAAGGGCTTGGAGTAGATGAGAAAGAAATTCACTAAGTTTGGGATGGTCAGAATTGAATCTTATATTTATTGCACTATAATGTGTGTGTGTAGGTGTTTGTAAAAATAAATATTTTTTGACTGTGGGATTAGACAAGAGTATATCACTTGATCTTTTCAAATGTATCACCACTATTGAAAAAAAATCAATTCAAAGTTTATATCAGTAGTGTTATCTTTGTGTATGAAAGACCATACTGTTGTTATGGATTTATTAAACATTTTGTGCTGGGCCATCTAAAAGATCCTGGGAAAGATATGGAAGAAGTAAAACCCAATTCCTGCTCTCAAGAAGCTAACCTAGTTCCTGTTATCGTCAGTTGGCAGTAATCAAACATGTTTGGAGTGGACTCTCAGCTCATTCATTTACTAGTTGTCTGACCTTTGGCTAGTTAGTTACCTTTCCAGAGACTTTGTTTCCTTATCTGTAAAATGAGGTCAGTGTTAGTTCCTCCTCATGGAATCATTGCTCAGTAAATGTTAGCTGTTCTTATGGTTGTTAATCACCTATGTCATCTTTTGTTTACTTTTGGACTCTGTGTTGATCTCTCTTCAGGATTTTGAACGTTCCCGAGCCTTTAATTTTCTGAATGAGATAAAGAAGAGGTTCCAGACTACATACGGTTCAAGAGCACAGACAGCACTCCCATATGCCATGAATAGTGAGTTCTCAAGTGTCTTGGCTGCACAGCTGGTAAGATCTTTCTCAGGATATAGTATTTTTATTCATATCTTCTTTATTACCTTAAAGTACCATGAATATAGAGGACCCTGACCTGCAATTGCCATTTTCTGATTGTGTTATTATATACCAACATAATAAAATTTCTCTGATAAAAAAAAGTATGGGGTCATTTTAGGGTAGAAAGCTAATAGTTGGTGATATTCTCTATTAGTAGTGGTCAGAGTATCTCAGGATTGGGAAGGACATTAAAGATCATCTACTTAAACTACCCACATAATGTGTAAATCCATTCAACATGCCAAATGGCCTCTTAACCTATTCAGGGACCTTCTACCATACCATGAGACAAATTTAATTTTTGAACAGCTCAAAGTAGTCCTTTGAAAGTCTGTTTATCTTTCTGCTTATCTAACTGTCAGCTCAGTGAGGTTTTACATATGTATACAGTTGTGAAATATCACCCTTTTCAAGATAGAAAACATCTCCATGACACTAAAAGTTCCTCCCCCTCACACTGCTTTAGGCAACCATTGCTCTGTTTTCTTTCACTATGGTTTTGTCTTTTCTAGAATTTCCTATACATGGAATCATACATTATGTACTCTTTTGTTTCTTGCATGTTTTGCTCAGTGTAAGCTTTTGATATTCTTCCACGTTGTGTAAATCAGTAGTTTCCTTCCTTTGCCTAATAGTATTGTATGCATATACCACAATTTGTTTATCCAGTTAACTTGTTGCTTGATATTTGAGTTGCTGTCAGTTTCCAGCTATCATGAATGAAGCTCCTATGAACATCCATGTACAAGTCTTTGTGCGAATGTGTATTTTTATTTCTCTTTGGTAAATACCTAGGAATGGAATTGCTGGGTCATATGGTGAGTGTTATTTAATTTTATAATAATCATCAGACTTTTCCCAAAGTAGTTGTACCATTTACATTCCCACCAGCAGTTCCAGAGTTTCTGCATCCTTTTCAGTTTTAGTCATTCTAGTGAGTGTCTAGTGATATTGTATTGTGATTTTAATTTGCATTTCCCTGATGACTAATGATGTTGAGACCTTTAAAAATGCTTACCTTTTATTCATGCAACTATTTGAGTGCAAAGACATAAGTTCTGTTTATGACTGTGTTATGGCTGAGAAAACAACTTACTGTAATTAGATACTTTCCTTTTCACTTCTGTGAGTGTTCTTTTTAATACTCTTTTTGATGTTATACTTCTAAATATATATTACTCTGGGGATGAAGTTCCTTTAAATAGTTATAAATCTTTATTAGTCAGTTGATTTGTTTTATACTTCCCACTAGGAAACATTCATATATGTGAAACTATGTAAAACATCACCAACAAAAAGTGTACCAGTGCATGGTCAAAAGTAAATAGGGTCAGCTGGCAGCAGACTTTCAACTTAGCTGGTTTGACATTAGCTCCAATTCTGTGTGTGATCCTCTGAATAGTTTCCTCATCTGTAAATGGAGATAATAATGATGACATCTTCATTATACAGTTTTGAGGTGAATGAAATAATATCCCTTACTTGAGGCATTTAGCATGGGCAAGTGACTGGAATATTGTGTATTAAGCACTCCACAATCGTTAGCCATGGATAATAACTTCAAAATATATACTGTTATCAGTGTTTTACATTTCTTTTCTTTTTAAATATATCTTTATTGATTTCAGAGAGAGGAAAGGAGAGGGAGAGAGAGAGTTAGAAACATCAATGATGAGAGAGTCATTGATTAGCTGCCTCCTGCACACCCCTGACGGGATCGAGCCCGCAACCCCAATCGCCTGGATCCTAGGTCAACGCTCAACTGCTGAGCCACGCCCCGCCGGGCAATGTTTTACATTTCTATATCCTATAAAAAGCCAATGAAAATAGGACGCATACCCTGATCCCAACAGTATAAGAACAGATGCCTAGAAGCTGAGACATCTCCTACCTCATCATGCCCAAGAAGTGGGGAACAATTTAGTGTACCCCTTCCCTGTCCTGTTCCCCCCTGCCCCAACTACAGTCTTCTTTCTTCCTTTTTTGAACCCCCTACTTCTGTTCCAAGAGTCCCAGATGTATATTTGATATATTATAATACATTTAGCTTTCCTTAATGTAAAATAAAGCGGTCTTTTTATACCAAACTCTCATATTTCATATGGTCGCATTTTTATGTTGTCTGTATTTTTCCTAGGTCTGATAACAATTTTTGAATAAAGTGACATATTTTTTGTATCAATAGACATATAATTTTATAGCATTTCTCAATGTCATTGGTCTTCTTTTTTTTCCCTGTTGTAAATAATGTCTGGGTACCATAAGTTAAATATCATTTTCTTATAGAAGCATCACTCTGAAAATAAGGGCCTAGACAAAGTGATGGAGACTCAAGCCCAAGTGGATGAACTGAAAGGAATCATGGTCAGAAACATAGGTATGTGTCATGGCATAGTCCACACAAATGTGGGCAAAAATGATAACAGATTACTTGATTAGGGTCAAATTATCCTGGAGAGACTGAAACAGAACTTCCTTTTTCTTACTACTGGAAGCTAAGATACAGAGATTACTTGCCTATGATGCTGTCTACTGTTTGAATGGTTTCTTTTTAGTACTTATGACTGTTCAATATTCTAAATTTGTTAGTTTGCTTAGCAAGACTAATTTCCAAGATCCTCACAACAGTTCAGCAGTTTAGCACAATTCAGTCAATTTTGGCTGGAGATACCCAGATAACTGATACTATCAGTAGATACCTTAAAGTATAACTATTTAACCTCCTTATAAAGTTTGTAGCTCTTGATTTAGAGAAAGAAAGAATTGAACCAAAAACTGTTATATTCTTCAAATTTATTATGAACTCTGATATATATAAATTTCATCAGCCTGTGTTTTGTCAAGAACCTATTTAGCACATTAAAATAATCCAGAAAAATGCATAAAGTTTATTTTTAAATTGATTATTCAGTGGTATTTAGATTTAGGATGATGCTGATTATTTTTAAAAACACTGATTCTCACAGTGTAGTTCCTGGGCCAGCAGCATCAGTATCTCCTGGCATCCTGTTAGAAATACAGATTTTCAGGTCCCAGCCAGACCTACTGAATCAGAAACTCTGGGATTGGGGCCCAGCAGTCTGTGTTTTCACAAGCCCTCTGGAGGATTCCAGTGCACACTCAAGTTTGAGAACCACTCTTTTAAATATATCTTCTCAGGGGAATATCTCACAGACAATAACTTCTATAAAATTGAACAAAGGATTATATAATTTCTTTATAAGATATTTAATTGAGACATTGTCAAATTGCATATATGTCCATTTACTTACAATCTTGGATTTACTATTTGAATTATTTTTATGTTGTTAGAAGTTACACATTGAGAAAAGACATTTTTTAAAATGTATCCTTGGTCTCACCATCCTAAGATTTATTTACATTTTCTTTCCTTTAAATTTTTATCCACATGTATACATAGTTGTAATCATAGTTTATATTCCGTTTGTGGAGGCAGTATAATATATTGATCAAGATTTGGAGTCATACATGCCTGAGATTGAGTCCGGATTTCACTTCCTACTTGCTGTTAGTCCTTGATCAGCCCGCTAATATCTCTGAGCTTTATTTCCTAATCTGCAAAAAGAAGATAATAGAACCTAAGGATATAAGGATAAAAGAGGTATTGTATGTAAAGCACTTTTTACAGTGCCAGGCACATAGTAAGAGCTGAATGACTGTTAGCTATTGTTAATCTACTTTATGTTCATACAGTATTTCATTGAGTTATATCATAGGTTACCAATCATGTCTTTATTTTGGACACTGGTTCTGTAGAGCAGTGGTACTCAGAGTGCTGTTTTATAACCAGATAAGGAGCTTGCTTCAGAATGTAAGTCAATGCTGGACTTCCTTCATTGAGAACGTCTTACCGTGAAAATCTCAATTGGACTGAACAGTGTACTTAGAGACTTAAAGCAGTAGCAGACACTCTTAGGTAGCACTGATTTAGAGGCTTGTGTTATAATAACAGTTCTGTTATAAATGATTTTGTGGCTATTATGATTTTCTTATGATTAAATTCCTGGAATTGGTTTAAATAATCAAAAGGCAGAAACATTTTTTACGGTTCTGGATATGTATGTTTCTTGGCTATTTGAAGTGATTTCCTTTCATTGATTTCAGTTTTAATTATATGTCTAGATGCAGGCTAGAGAAACCTATTTAAAAAATACATTCCTTTTTTCCCTCTTTTCTTTTGGTCACTGAATGTATTTATTTTGCCTGAAAGTGGAAGCAACCAACTACTACAATATTGTTCATGATATATGCATAGTTTCCAGAAAATGAAACTTTTTAATCAACTCCTTCTAAATGACTTATTTTTAGAATAACAGAAACAGCAAATTAAAAATGTAGTAAAAACATTTCTAATTATCTCCCTTTGATTTTTTAACAGCTTTATTGAGATACAATTCATATACCGTACGATTCACCCATTTCAAGTATACAATCCAATGTTTTTTACTATAATCAGAGTTGTGCAACCATCACCACAATCAATTTTAGAACATTTTTCATCACCCCCCAAAAGAAATCCTGTATCCACTTAAAATCGGTCACTCATCTTTTCCCCTCAACCTCCAGACCTAAGCAACAATTAACCTCCTTTCTGTCTGTATAGATTTGCGTTTTCTGGATATTTCATATAAATGAGATCATAATAGTATATGGCCTTTTGTATCTGGGCTTTTTTTCACTTAGCATAATGATTTTAAGGTTCATATTGTAGATGCTACAATATCAGTATTTCATTCCTTGTTATGGCTGAATATTCCATTTTATTGATAGATTTTATTTATCTAGTTGATGGGCATTTTGGTGGTTTCTATTTTTTGGTTATGCTTCTGTGAACATTAGTATACAAGTTGTTGTGTGAGTACTTGTTTTCAGTTCTCTTGGGTGTATTCCTAGGAGTAGAATTGCTGGGTCACATGCGAACTTCATGTTTAATGTTATTTTCTTTTTTATTAATTTTTAATTTTTTTATAGTTGACACTATTACAGATATCCCCCTTTGCCCACCTTTCGCCCAGCCCCCGCCTCCACCTCTCCCCAAAACCATTGGATTGTTTAACATTTTAAGTGAGGCCAAACTTTCCTAAAGTGGCTGCACTACTGTACATCCCCAGTAACAATGCATTAGGATTCCAGTTTCTTCACATCTTTGCCAACATTTATTATGTTATTTGTATTATAGCCAATTTAGTATGTGCGCAATGGTATCTTATTGTGGTTTTGATTTGCATTTCCCTGGTGACTAATGATGTTGAGCATCTTTTCTTGTGCTAATGGGCCATTTGTACGTCTTTGGAGAAATGTCTATTCAAAATCCATTGTCATTTTTTAAGTGGGTTGTCTTTTTATTGTTGAGCTATAAGAGTTCTTTGTATACTCTGGATACTACATTCTTAATGGAAATATGATTTACAAATATTTTCTCACATTCTATGAGTTGTCTTTTCACTTTTTGATAGTGGTCTTTGAAGCATAGAAGTTTTTAATTTTGATGAAGTCCAACTTATTTTTTTATTTTGTTGCTTGTCCTTTGGATGTCACATTTAAGAGACCATTGCCTAAGCCAAGGTCACAAAGATTTACTCCTTTGTTTTCTTCTAAGAGTTTTATAACTGTAGCTATTTCATTTGATCTGTGGTCTATTTTGAGCTAATGTTTGTGTATAAAGCAAGGAAGGTGTCCAACGTAATTCTCTCAAATGTATATATCCAGTTTTCCCAACACTATTTGTTGAAAATATTTTTATTATCCCATTGAATGGTCTTAGCACCCTTATAAATAATCAATTATCCATAAGGTATGGGTTTATCTGGACTCTCAGTTCTATGCCAATACTATATGTCTGTCCTTATGCCAGTACCACACTGTCATGGTTATTGTAGATTTGTAGTAAGTTCTAAAATCAGGAAGTATGAGTCTCCCAACTTTGTTCTTTTTTTTTAAGATTGCTTTGGCTATTCTAATTACCTGTCGTTTCCGTAAGAATTTTAAGATGAGCTTGTCAGTTTCTGAAACCAGAAAAGCTGGAATTTTGATAGGGATCATGTTGAATCTGAAGATCAATTTGGGTAGTATTTCCAGTTTAACAACATTAAATTCCTCATGAACATGAGATGCCTTATTTACTTAGGTCTTCTTTAAGTTTTTTTCAACAATGTTTTGTAGTTTTCAGTGTACAAGCCTTACGTGACAAATACTATGCTTGACCAAAGGTTAAACAGGCTCTTCTGAACCCTCTGTTTGACTAGGCTTCATTCTTGGGCTCTGTCCTTGGCCTGCCTCAGCCAGTTTTAGCAGAGAATCCGGCTAAGTCAATCCCCTACCCTTGATATCTGATCACCCTTGATAGCTGGTCAAAGTTCCTCAGCCCCTACCTTTGATGTGTAAATCTTTGGCCTGTTTTACGGAGATCCTTTAGGCCAGTTTAGCAAGATTCCCCTACCCTTGATTTCTCTTCCTAGTAATTTTCCATGCACTGGCCACCCACTCACTCTGCTTGTTTTATTATTATTATTATTATTATTATTATTATTATTATTATTATTAATGAGATACAGTTTACCCACAAAATCCTGTGAGTTTAAGGCATACAACATGTTGATCTGATATATTTATATATTGCAGTATGATTATCATCTTAGCTTTAGCTAACATCTGTCACATAAATTACTTTCTTTGTGGTGAGAACGTTTAAGATTTAGTCACTTAGCAATTTTGAAGTATATAATACATAATTGTGGATTATAATTGGTGTGCTGTGCGTTAGATCTCCAGAACCTATTCATCTTCTAGTTGCAAGTTTGGACCCTTTAACAACATCTCCCCAACTTTTCCAACCCCCATCCCTTGGTAACCACCATTCTCTTCTGTTTCTACAAGTTTCGCATTTTTAGATTCCATATATAAATAATGTACAATATTTGTCTTTCTCTGTCTGGTTTATTTCACTAAGCATATTGCCCCCGAGATCCATCCATGTTGTTGCCAATGGCAGGATTTCCTTTTTTCTCGTGGTTCAGTAATTTTCATGTCTGTGCGTGTGTCACATCTTCTTTATCCATTCATCCATTGATGGAACTTCGTTGTTTACACGTCCTGGCTATTGTGAATAATGCCTCAGTGAACAAAGGAGTGCAGATAGCTCTTCAGAATCCTATTTTTATTTCCTTTGGATATATACTCAGAAGTGGAATTGCTAGATCATATGGTAGTTGTATTTTTAATTGTTTGAGAAACCTGGCTGAGCCAATTTACATTTCCACCAATAGAGCATGCTTGCCAGTACTTGTTATCTCTTGTCTTCTTGGTGATAGCCATTCTAAAAGGTGTGAGCTTTTTCTTTTCTTTTCTTTTCTTTTC